TTAGTTTATCTTGATGATATAATTGTTTATTCATCTTCATTTGAAGATCATTTAAATCATCTCGAACTCGTTCTTCAACAAATACAAAATAGTGGTTTAACATTAAAAATTAATAAATGTCATTTTTGTAAAACTCATCTCAAATATCTCGGTCATATAGTTTCAAAAGACGGTATTCAACCAGATCCTGATAAACTTCGTGCCGTTCGTGAATATCCTGTTCCGACGAAATTAAAAGCTGTTCGTTCTTTTCTCGGTCTTACAAGTTATTATCGTCGTTTTATCAAAAATTATGCTACAATTGCTGAACCTTTACTAGCACTTACACGTAATTCTGATTCAAAATCATTTCAATGGACTCAAGCTTGTCAAGATGCATTTGAGTTATTACGACAACATCTGATCGAAGCTCCAATTATTTCTTATCCTCGATTTGATCAACCTTTTATACTACAATTAGATGCTTCTGATGTCGGTATTTCTGCTATTCTTGCTCAAAAATTAGTTGATGATGATAATATTACTCGTGAACATGTTATTGGTTATGCTAGCCGTACATTATCACCAGCTGAACGAAAATATAATGCAACCGAACGTGAATGTTTAGCTATTATTTATGGATCTAATTATTATCGACCATATCTTGAAGGTACCAGATTTACTGCTGTTACTGATCATAAAGCTCTTAAGTGGCTCCATTCAACTAAAGATCTTAATACTCGGTTAGCACGTTGGGCAATTCAAATTGCTGCTTATGATATGGATATTCAACATCGACCTGGTAGTGAGAATGGTCCACCTGATGCATTATCTCGTTATCCTCTTAATGGTACTGCTGATGATGATATTGAATCTTCATCTATTATTTCTTCAATTTCATCTAATTTTCATGATACAAGTTACAATGATTTTTTATCTTCTATTCCATCTGATTCTGGTTCATTATTATTACTTGATTACTTTCGAGAAAATTCATTACCACCAAATTCATTATCAATTCCATTATCTTTACCATCTATTACTGGTCCACCATCTAATTCAACTATAGCTAATCTTCATTTTGCTGATAATATTAATTTATATGAACAAATTCGCACAGCTCAGTGGAATGATTCTTCACTGTTACCATTATTAAATTTTCTTCAACATCAAATTATACCAACAACTGATAATCTTAATAAATTTTACAGTTTAGCACGTTTACATCGAGTGATTGATGGTGCTCTTTATCGTATATTTCGTACTCATTCATCATCTCAAGGTCAAGCATCTATTATACCATTATCATCTGAACGTATACTTCTCGTTATTCCTGCTTCAGAAGTACCTTGTGTTATGAAACTTGCTCATGATCATGCTACAGCTGCTCATCTCGGTCGTCGTAAAACATTATCTCGATTAATTTCACGTTTTTATTGGCCTCATATGCGTCGTGATGTTACTAATTATGTACGAGCATGTATATTATGTCAACAATACAAACCTAATAATCAAAAACCCGGCGGTTTAATGAAACCTATTATTGTATCGGAACCGTGGCATACAGTTGGTATTGATATTACTGGTCCGCTACCTAAAACTCGTCGTGGTAATCGTTTTATTCTCGTGGTGGTCGATTATTTTACCAAATGGGTAGAACTTTTTCCACTTCAATCTATTAAATCAACTATTATTGCACAAGTATTTCTTGATGAGGTTATATGTCGATTTGGATTCCCTATTCGTGTTATATCTGATAATGGTGTTCAATTTCTTTCTAAAATATTTATTCAACTATGCAATATACTTGGTATTCAACATCAACGCACACCTCTTTATCACCCACAAAGTAATTTAAGTGAACGTATTAATCGTACATTAAAACCTATATTAGCATCACTTGCTCATAATGATTCAAAATCATGGGATCTTAAATTATCACAAATTGCATTTGCCTTACGAACTGCTCCAAGTGAATCAACAGATAATTCACCTGCTTTCTTAATGTTTGGACGTCATCCACGTCAACCACTCGATCTACTTTTACCACCACCTGCTGTTTCTGATAATTTACCATCTTCTGAAGAGTTATCTGCTTATCGTAAACAATTATTAACTGACTTATTACCTGCTTATACAACTGCACGTGAATTACTAGATATTTCTCACCATACACAAGCACGTAATTATAATGTTCATCGTCGTCCATTAGCATTTGAACCCGGTGATTTAGTATGGGTGACAAGTCTATCCGGTATTGCCATGGGAAAATGGCGTGGTAGTAAACTACAACCCAGACGCGAAGGTCCATATAAAATTATCACTAAATTATCATCAGTTACCTATGAATTAGAACATATTATATCTCATCAACGTTTATCACCAATACACATAGAACGACTTACACCTTATTATTCGTTTACAACCATCTCTTAATTCTATTATTCACAACAAGATATATTATAAACTGATCGATTTGTCGTCATTCTCTTATTGGCGAATATCTGTAGCGATCACATTTTTTTAATTTACATGACACTGACGTGAATTTCTTTTATCTAACCGATCGTAAACTTCAATCAATCTTGCACTTATACTGTGTTCACCGTTCTCTTCTATCTCATAATTACATTATATTTGACTTTATCATTACAAATTACTTAATTCACATGAATCTTCGAATTATGAAATATTCTCTTCTGTCAATTAAAAAAAAAAAAAAAAAAAAACGAACACGAAAAACAAATTACCCACACGAACAAAAATGACTAAAACTAATTGATATATAACTCTAGAACAGTCGCAGGAGCTCTAGATTTTTTTTTTTCTGTGGTGGGAGAGCCCTGTAACGGCACTGTGTGTCGTTACCTGTATATTATGATCTGCTCATTTTCTATTTGTTTTTCTTTCGCGCTTTGTTCTTTTTTTCTCTCTCTTGTTCTCTTGTTTTTCGCGCTCGTCATGAACTCATGGTTGTTGTCATTGTTCTTCTGATGATATAAAAAGGAGAGTTTGTTTCATTCATCGATATTGTTTTCTTCCGGTATCGAGCTTGCCATACATCGAGGCATCTCA